ATCGAAGTCTGTCATGGACTGAGAACAGTCATTCAACTTTGAACAGTTTTCAAAAGTCAACATTGGTGATGGCAATTTCAATGAAATAAAGTTAAGGAATAAATTTTGAAAATCTTCATAAAAGCCTTGGTCAGGTCAAACTTAACTTCTGGAAGGCTACTTTTATACCTCTCTCATCAGTTTTTGAAGACAATACTTTGAAATATTCGTTCATTCATGGGAAGAAAGAAAAATCTTTGTCACACTGCCACTGATTCATGTTTGAAAGGTAGAATAAGATGAAAATATTGTTCCTGTCTTCAGGTCCTTATGTCAAGTGGTCCATTGAAACCAAGAAGGGACGTACTCAAACAGGCAGCTGTTAGAGTACCAAAGCCCAGCCTTGGGTAGATATCTCACCAAGTACAGAGAAGAGACAAGAAAATGTTTTCCCTGTACTCCTTGACTGTTTTAAGTCTTCTACAATTTACTGATGGAGAAGCTGAATTTGCATTTTGAATAAGTACTTACTAATTTAATTTTTGTCTTCTATACCTTTCAAGACCCTACTCAATCTGCCAGTGATTTATGTGAGCAATTATTCTTCACCACGAGTACCCAAATCAATTTCTTGCCATTAGTTTTTGAGTAATTTCATGATGAAATCATCAGAAGGCCAGCACTTACAGCAGCAGTAGTCGAGTTCATTTACACGGATGCATTTTCTCAGTAACTACTAAAATGTTTCATTGCTCTCCTGTGGGGTAACTGAAAAAAATCAACTTTTGATGTTAAGAGTCCCCGCATTTGAAAGATGGAGGATCACTGTCACCTGTTTTTTTCATTACTATCAAATCTCATTGAAATCTTTCCTATAACCCCCAGGCACACAGATTCTTCTAACTAAAGAGTTTTCTCTTTCCACAATTAATTTGTCTCCTTCCTCATTAGTTTAGAACCAATGTTGAAGGTATTCATCTGTCCCTATTCCATTTGTTTCTGTGTCTTATGCTATTGCTAGGTGTCCCACATCTCTCCGTGTTGAAAGCTGTTTAATAGAGAAACTTTGTATTGTTAAGTTTTAAAATTTTGTAGATGACGTCACTTCATGCTTTAACTAGGAATACAATGCTCAGATACATTCCCACATAAAGTCATCCGCAAGCAGATGCTAAGCAACAAATGGAGTGTGTTCTATGAGGTGGTTTATAAATTTATGAATACAGCAATTACGGTGGCATATAAACAACAGTGAGAGATGATACAAAGAGGAGAAGAGGAAACCCTGTCTGGGTTACAAGGAACCCACGGCACCTGCACAGTCACACCCAAAGCTGCCATTGAATCACTCTAAACTTATGCTTTTAATTTGATTTTGACATCTTCTTCACTGAGCTTTCCTGTCAACAGGTTTTCCAACAGTGGATGTGCATGAACAAATGCAGCTATATTGTCACTGTGAATATGTAAATCCACAACCTGATTTATAGTTAAGGCTTCTTTAACAAAGGTCCATTTTCCACACAACTGATGATATCATTGCAAATGAGTAACTGAATAAAATAAACTTCTTTTCTGTGCTAACTGGTGCCCATATGGAAGGTGTGCTTTGTCTACTTCATTCATGCCGTGATCCTGCCGTCTGGCTTTTCTTCCCAGCAACACTATTTATTGTTAGGATCTGCACTCAGCATGCATGTGGGTAGGCACTGATTGAGTCACTGAGCAAGAACCTGGTGTAAACTAATTGTGTGTGGAGTCAGCTAACATCGGTTCAGAGTCTCTAATAACAGCGGGCCATGGTGATCGTTACTCTTGACTGCTAACTTGCCTGGGTTTAGAACTAGCTAGGAGCCCAAACCCTGGCCTGTCTGTGAGGAGAGAGATGATCCACCATCCGTGCCTGGGATTCACACTGGAGACAAAGGTGAAGCAACACTGAACATCAGCATTCATCTTTCTCCCTGCTGACTGTGGGCATAACAGGACCAGCTGCCTTCCTCTCTGAGCACCATACCTTCCCGCTCTGATAGACTGTGTCCTCTTATGAGACAAAATAAACCTCCACTCCCTTAAGCTACTAGTTAGCGATTTACAGCAACGAGAAAGGCAACAATAACAGCATTGAATTCATGTCCCTTTCAGTTCTTCTCAGATGAAAACTGGCTACCAGTTCCTTGAGCATCTCTGCAGCCATTCTGCAGTGTCCCTTTAAATGCAATGTTCACAAATGAGGCTTAAAGAGTGCAGTCCACACAAACTTGGCTCACCTCAGTGTTGCCCTGTGTGTCATTAACAGAATCAGAGGGACTCATAAGGGTGTGACCATTGTTTGGATTTGCCACATATGAATTATATTCTGCAATATTTGAAAGGTTGCCACCAAAATCTGTACAGAAATTTCTTCTCATTATTTTTCAGGTTAGTGTGAAGGTAAAAATATCTTGGCATATAAACATTTTAACATAAAACAGCTTTTATCTAAAATGAATAAATGTTCTTTTTAATTGCTTTCTTTCCATTGACAGTAAATCTTCTTAAACAATGAAGAGTCTCCAAAAATGCAGACAAAAGAAACAGTGACCCACAGCAATAGCAGCCAAGGGGTCACCATCTTCTGTTAATGAAAAAATAGAAAATTAAAACCACAGCTGAACACCCACTTAAAAACAGTTATTTTTATCAATGTCAGTACAACATTTGCTTAGAAAAGATCTATCACTTCACGGTAAGTCTTAAATATTCAAAACTTTCTTTAATGGAAAAAGTTGCCATCCAAGGTCTGTCAGCTGCAATAAAGCGGATGAAAATCTGGGCATTCTGACCCATCTACAGAATTACTTCATCTTCATTAGAATACCAAGTTTTATTAACTTTTCTCAATACGGCTCTTTCTGAAAGTCTAACAAACAAGAATCTATTTTAGTTTCACAAAACCTTGGATGTTCAATAACAATTCATCTATTATATTTCAAACCTTTCAGGTAGAATAATAGCCAAGAAATGTAGTCAGGCTAATCGGGAAGGAATTCTTAAAAAAAAAAAAAAAACTAATTGAATTTCTTCTAGGACAAAAATGACATAATGTGTTTAATTCTTGACCATTTGTTGAAAAAAGAACAGTTGAAGGATGTTACTGGTGTGAAGAGCATGTGACTTTTGAAAGAATTATTCTGCTTCTAATCATGAGGTTAAGGCCTCACTAATAGTTCTATTTTTTGCTTGAATCTGCTATCTAAGATTTGACCAAGTGAGACATTTATCCTCATATTTCTACCAGCCACTTGGCTGGTCAAGAGCTGTGCTGAGGGACAAACCTTGCCAATAAAGAAAGGGAAATCCTTCCATGAAAACACACAAGGTCTCACTACAGCGGGGCCATGCTCCTCCTGTGAGTGTGATGGGAGATAACAGTGACTGAAGTTCATTTCTCTCCAGGTACCTTGCCGACTCTAGGAATTTTGTTTTCTTCACTGGTTCTAGAAACTACAGTTGCTCTGAGTACTGTTTTGATTTGTTACATGAGTATGCACTTTTGATTTTTTTTTTTCGATACAGGGTTTCTCTGTAGCTTTGGTGCCCGTCCCGGAACTAGCTCTTGTAGACCAGGCTGGCCTCGAACTCCCAGAGATCCGCCTGCCTCTGCCTCCCAAGTGCAGGGATTAAGGGCGTGCGCCACCACCACCCGGCTCTTTTCTACTTTCCATGTAGATTAGATCCATGTATGTCTCTCTCTGGGTCCTCTTTATTGTCTAGGTTCTCTGAGACTGTAAATTGTAGGCTGGTTTTTCTTTGTGTTATGAGAGAAAAAATTAATAAATGGGACCTCCTGACACTGAGAAGCTTCTATAAAGCAAAGGACAAAACAGCAGCCTAAAGAATGGAAAAAGATGTTTGCCAACCCCACATCAGACAAAGGGCTGATCTCCAGAATATACAAAGAACTCAAGAAACTGGTCATTAAAAGAACAAATAATCCAATTAAAAAATGGAGTTCAGACCTAAACAGAGAACTCTCAACAGAGGAATCTAAAATGGCTGAAAGACACTTAAGGAAATGTTCAACATCCTTAGTCATCAGAAAAATGCAAATCAAAACAACTCTGAGATTCCATCTTACACTTGTAAGAATGACCAAGACAAAAAACACTGATGACAACTTATGCTGGAGAAGTTGTGGGTTAAAGGAAACACATCTGCATTGCTGGTACCACAGTGCAAGCTGGTACAGCCCCTTTGGATGTCAGTGTGGCAATTTCTCAGAAAATAAGGAAACAACCTCCCTCAAGATCCAGTAATGCCACTTTTGGGTATATACCCAAAGGATGCTCAATCATACCACAAGGACATGTGCTCAACTATGTTCATAGCAGCATTATTTATCACAGCCAGAATTTGGAAACTACCTAAATGCCCCTCCACTGAAGAATGGATCAGGAAAATATGGTACATTTACACAATGGAGTACTACACAGTGGAAAAAAAAACCCGACATCTTGAAATTTCTGGGCAAATGATGGAGCTATAAAACATCATATTGAGTGAGATAACCCAGACCCAGAAAGACAAGTATAATATGTACTCACTCATAAGACATAAAGCACAAAGAAAACAGTTAGGTTTTAGAATAAACTCAACATTGTAAGGAGATGGCTAACATGTTTTTATCTGAACTACTGTATTTGTTCTTTAACAATACACTTATGCTGTTTCTTAACTGTTTCATGGAGATAATTATCAGCCATCCTCAACATGTTCTCTACTTCTTTTGTATTTCATAGTCTGTGAATCTTATGTGTGAGCAGGTATATTGGGAATTGATCCCAGGGCATATGCATGCTAACCTAGTGCTCTACCAACTGAACCAAGCACACATGCGAGACTTAATAAACAAGAAGTTTGAATGGCTAAACATATGGAACTGTTTACATGATGTACGGCCTACTGTACAGACTATTTCAACATTCAGCTAGTGTCACAAACATAACACCTTTTAATGCATGTTACTGCATACAAATTACCTGGCAATGACTTAGACCATTTGACTACTGAAAGCAGTTGCCTCTCGCCTAGTTGATTGAGACTGGTCAGCAAAGAGCTGGAGGTGTCAGGTTTTGTGTTGTCATGTCCGGCGTAGATCACGTCAGGCTCGATGCTCATGAGCAGGTTGATCAGTGGGGGGACCAGCTGTATTTCTTGATTTGGAGAAAAGTTGATTCTTTGGCCTAGGGTCTGGCTCTCACTAGGAAGGCCCACTGACTGAGGGAGAGCAACACCATCGAGGGCTCTCATAACTCGAACTTTATTAAACTTCTTAAACTTCCGACCTAGGGAGAAGACAAAAGGGAAAGAACTTTGTGTGGCACACAGGAATCCATTATACCAGCAGTGTTTCACCTTCTTTAAGCCTTTTATCCATTGAGCTGTAGATTTTATCACCAATCTGAAAGTGGAAGAAAGCCGGGCAGGCATGGTGACACATAACTGTGATCCCAGCTCTTGAGAGGGGGAAGCAGGAGGACCTCAAAGCATTGTTTCTGAACCACACAGGAAGTTCAAAACCAGCCTAGACTATGTAAGACCTTGTTTCAAAGAAAGAGGGGAAGGGGGAAATCTTGGGTTAGGAGGAGGACAAGGAGAAGGAGGACAAGAATGAGGTGGACAAAGAGAAAGAGGACAAGGAGGAGGAGGACCTGGAGGAAGAGGAAAAAGAGAAGGCAGAAGAAGGAAAACATTAGGCAACTGGGCATAGTAGTACATGATTGTTTCTTGAGTACTTGGGAAGTCAATGAAGGAAAACTATAAAGGCATGGACATCCTGGACTAGAGAGAGATTTCAAGGCCAACTTTGGTAACTTAGTGAGCGAATAAAACATCTCAGAATATAAACTATAAAGGTATTTGGGATGTAACTCAGTGGGAGAACTCTTGTCTGGCATCTATGAAGACCTAGATTTTCTTTCCGCTACCAAATATGCAGGGAGACAGACAAATGGATGGACACACACATACACAATAACACCCCCACACAAGTACATGTGTGCATGTGCACATGCACATGGGAAAAAGGAAAGAAAGGAAAGAAGGAAGAGAAAGAAAGAAGAAGAAGAAGAGAGAGAGAAAAGAGGGAAGGAAGAAAAGAAGGAAGGAAAAATAAAATGGACAAGAAAATAGAATAATATGGAAGTCACCCTGTGATCACTTTTTTTATTGATTTTTACAGAAAATTAACAGAGAAATAAGGGAACTAACAGATGTTATGAATCAAAAGGACTTAACAGGCATCTATAGAACATTACATCCAAACATAAAAGAATATACCTTCTACTCAGCACCTCATGGAACCATCTCAAAAACTGATCACATACTAGGTAACAAAAAAAAAGTCATCAGATACAAAAGATTGGAATAACTCCATGTATCTTGTTGGATCACCATGGCTTAAAACTAGAAATCAACGGCAGCACTTATTTCAGAAAGCCCACAAACACATGGAAATTAAGCAATGTTCACCTGAATCACCAATGGGTCAAGAATGAAATAGAAGATTTCCTAAAATTTAATGATCACCCAAATTTATAGGACACAATGAAACAGTGTTAAGAGGAAAGTTCATAGCACTAAATACCTACATAAAGAATCTGGAAACCCCACACTTGTGAGTTAACAGCACGCCTGAAAACTCTAGAACAAAAAGAAGAAAACTCACCCAGGAAGACTAGACTGTAGGAAATAATCAAATTGAAAGCTGAAATCAACAAAATATAAACAAAAAAGCAATAGTAAGAATCACTGAGATAAAGAGTTGGTTCTTAGAGAAAATCAACAAAACAGACAAATGTTTATCCAAACTAACCCAAAGGCAGAGAGAGAATATCCAAATTAACAAAATTAGAAATGAAAAGGGGGACATAACAACACACATGAACGAAATCCAAAGAATCATCAGGTTATATTTCGCAAACCTGTACTTCATAAAATTGGAAACCTGAAAGTAAATGAACAATTTTCTAGATAAATATCAGTTACCACAATTAAATCAAGACCAGTTAAGCAAATTAAATAAACCTATAACTGCTAAAGAAATGGAAGCAGTCACCTAAAGTCTCCCAACTAAAAAAATACCAGGACCAGATGGTTTCATTGCAGAATTCTACAAAATTTTTTAAGAAGAATTAATATCAATACTCTTCAAATTGTTCCACACAATAGAAACAGAAGTAAAATTGTCAAATTCTTTTTATGAGGCTAAAATTACCCTGATACCCAAAACATATAAAGACATTTTAAGAAAAAGAAGTACAGACCAATCTCACTAATAAACATTGATGCAAAAATATTCAATAAAATACTAGCAAACTGGATTAAAGAACACATCAGAAAAATCATCCGTCATGATCAAGTCATCTTCATCTTAGAGATGCAGGAATAGTTCAACATATGAAAATCTGCCAGTAACAAAGGACACCTAAGGTACCTAAGGTCATGCTCAATTTCCTTAGCGATCAGGGAAATGCAAATCAAGACAACTTTAAGATACCATCTTACACCTGTCAGAATGGCGAAAATCAAAAACACCAATGATAGCCTTTGCTGGAGAGGTTGTGGAGAAAGGGGTACATTCATCCATTGCTGGTGGGAATGCAAACTTGTGCAACCACTCTGGAAAGCAGTGTGGAGGTTTCTCAGGAAATTCGGGATCAACCTACCCATGGACCCAGCAATACCACTCTTGGGAATATACCCAAGAGAGGCCTTATCATACAACAAAAGTATATGCTCTACTATGTTCATAGCAGCATTGTTTGTAATAGCCAGAACCTGGAAACAACCTAGATGCCCTTCAATTGAAGAATGGATGAAGAAAGTATGGAATATATACATA